TGAGTTATGATCATATTGTGCCCTCGTCATCCAGGACAAAAGGGACATCTTCTACCGACTACGCATCAAAATTAAGCCCAACCTTAATATCTTTTACATCACATATTGAAAGGTAAGGGACCTTGATCAGCCACTGAAAGCCTTGAGCTCGCTAGAACGCTCATGAAAGGTGCTGTGGTGATGTCGTCCAGTTTTCTTGGGCACAGAGCACGTTGCCGAGACTTTCGTGTCCCTGCATCGCCATCATGCTGCTGTGACGAGATCTTCCAATGTATTCGTCTGTATTCCACGTTGTTTCTCGATCCTTTCCCTTGTTCATAGTGCGTAAGGGATCTGTCGGAGAGTGGTCCAATATACGATGTGCATTGAAGGAAATCGAGTCCAGAGAGAAACGGTCCCTCTCATTTGAAGTCGAATGATCCATCGAAGACACCATACAAAGTGGAGAATTAGGAGTCAAGGCTCTCGAATGGATAATACTGGGAATCTTGATCACACTATGGCGAGTCGAGAAACTGAAGCGGCGGGGAGGGAGTTGTCGTAGTTCTTCAGGTGAGAAGAGGTCAAGATCCTCCTCCCTTGAGCGATTACGGTGGTCGCGCGCAAGTGTATCCTTGTTGCTCAGGAACTCCTTTGGCTCCAATGATGTGGCACCTGGCCCTTTCCTCGGCCACTTTATCCCGTTACTATCACCACCTCCTTCACCGCAACCTCTAGTGACAAACCAAATAGAGAGGGCATTGACAAAGACGTCGATAACACACCACAGCATGCATCTGGATCCATCTTGCCCTCTTTTATAGTGGTAAAGAACAAGAATATTGACGGTAGAGGTAATGAGGGCAACGATTGAGGCAAACAGGGATCGCCTGGCAAGCCTGTGAAGGCACGTGGAAGGGTTGGGTGAGTTGATAGTGAGGGCCAATGAGGTTGCGGACGTATTAGGAGGGGATGTGACGTGGGCGTCAATGAAAGAAGGAAGTGTAGGGATCTCCTCTGACAGAATTAATTCTGATTCCGATAGTTCCTTGGGAGAGACGAATGACTCCGAGGATCTCTCTCCCGGATGAGTAGGAGGGGAATTTGATAACGGAAGTGAAGGCTTTTCTTTGTCTGTTCGTCTTTTCCATTTCCCGGCAATCGGATACAACCAATAGACAACTGATTTCTTGAGGAGGGAACGGACGGAAGTGACCATACGGGAGACCCAGCTCGCCCTTCTCTGACCGCTTACTCCGGATTTTGCAATAGGTATGACAAACATAGCTGTCAAAATGCTCGTGATAACGATGTCGTACACCACCAAGGGTATTGTCCCATATGGACCGAGTCCCACAGAACAGGCTTCTTCGATTAATATCGGATGAATATTGTTGACAGTTATAGCCTCAACGCGAGCAGTTGTCGTAATCATAGTAGCTTTGGAAACTTTGCCAACGAGGAGCACTGGGAGAATGCCTAGATAGACAAAGATCCCGACCAGGCCAATTTTGTAAATCCGAGTGGAAAGGCGAGGTTCACTCGTTCCTGCAGTTGAGACGAGATAGACACGTTCTATCAGGAATAGATAAACCCAGATCTGGAGTAGATATAGTATGAGCATTAAATCTTCGTACAGGGAATCAAGGCTACGATGGAGCTTACCTTGGTAAGGCCATAGAGGAAAATACATATGTAAGAGGCAGCATTACAGATCCTATCAGAAGCGGCTTGTGGTATTGCCGCAAGTGCTTCGGGGGCTGCACCATAAACGATGGTACGCTTCTTCAACCCAAATCCATAGACCAGAATGGCCGAAGTCATTATAAAGAGGAGTGTGGTGATGAGATTTAGAAAGGTCATGAGACGAGCGACTGTTGTATAAAGTTGGTACTTGGACAGGATATGGGTGATCGGACAACGGAAATTCCAGCGTCGGCGAGAGCGTCCATGTTCTCTGGACGAGGTCGGTAGATTCGTATCTAACAAGAGAGGGCAATATCGACAGGGAAAGCGGTACAGCCTAGAGCAAACCGGCTGTGCTTGTTTGAGGCCGAGATGAAAGAAGGAACGACGACCCAGACAAAAAGATACCACCATTATAGCTAAAACGAGTTTCAGGATGATTGTTACATAAATGCATATTGAACTTACCAAGCAGGTGAATTACGACGGATACAACTCGAGAGCGAATCGCAGTGTTGTCTCCAGGGTCCATCATGAGGAGAGGATGAGAGACAAAAGGAGGGGGATTTGTCGTGTACTCCTTGTACTCTGAAACTTGTATCATATGGTTATGATATGCGGAGCAACAGGCGCATTTGGATCAGTGAGGAATGGAAGCACCCTGCTGTCTGCCTCCATCATTCTAGGGTGAAATTGAGCGATTGAAGTTAGAATTTAATCTCATATAAGGAAAGGAGATCACGGGAAGGAAAAATGATTAGTTATAGGTCGTATTTAACCAAATGGAGAATGCACCATTGCTCGAAAGTACGAACTCTGTCCATTGTAACCAACTATAGAAGCGGAAACAACCTCTTAATCAATCATTCCCATTCCAAATACACATTTCTTTTGAGGCTCCATGAGTAGATGGGACATGGTTGTAATAGAAGACAGAGGTTGGCTCCAAGTTGAGGACGTTCCCGAAACATTACCAAAGAAAATCTCAAATTCAGAACGGAACCCCGAATGAGTGATAAAAAGCCCTTCTATTCGTTACAGCCGTTCGTAAAGAATATACAAGAGCATACATGGTCGCCGCATACCGAGCGCAAAGTGACCCTCATTAATATCATGACACTTCGTGTCTCCACAAATACAATACCGAAAAGAGAGGAACCAAAGAACGAACCGAGATTGGCTTAATGCCATCCCGAAGAAGGTCCCCAGTACCCAACTTCCGGTACCTCCAACAACGGCATACCAGGGTATGCGTCCGCACCATTATTCACCACATCATTTCCCCACCATGTAATCTCCACACCAGGCCACTGCAAAGCAAAGAACGTAACAATCGCCGCAATCGCCACTCCGCAATCAAACGCGGTCGACAAGATATAGTTATATTTCTGCCACCAGGCCAAATAGTGCTTGCGCACGTACACTTGGAAGAAGTAGGCGATGGGGACGGCAGGCCAGGAGTGCGAGAGGTTGTAAGGGGCATAGTTGAGTGGGCCAGAGAGGAGGATGGGGACGTGGATCGAGCGCACAATCTTGTTCTCTGGGAACCGCTTGGCGAGGAAGTAGAAGGGGATGGGCAAGACTGCACCCACGAGGAACCCAAAAATGAGCACAAAGTAGGGACCGTGACGTCCGTACATGCGTGCGGGGCCGAGAGTTCCCCAGATGACCGAAGCGGTAAAGAAGGTCGAGGTGCCCGGGCAGTAGAATTTGGCTTGGGCGTCGGGTGTGCAGACGCCCTTGATACCCGTGGCTTGCCAGTTGAGCAGGACAGTGGCGATGATGGTCGAGATGATTGTGGCGATGGTTTGAGCGGCAAACATGACCCTTGGTGGAACTTTGGCGTAGTGGCCTAGTTTGAGGTCCTGGGCGAACATGAGGGCGCGGGCGGTGGTCACGTAGCCGTAAGACTTGAACATGTTCATGGAGAGGGCGTTGCCGGGGAAGAGCAGACCTCCGATGAACTCGGCAAGCACGTTGAGCGTGACTTGCATATTTGTTACAGCGTAGATCACACTGTAACTCGTTAGAGATAAATTAACAAGAGTAAAGAGGAACTGACCCAATTGGGACGATAAAGATCAGGGCGAGGAGAAGACCCATGAACAACGCTCCAACAGTAGCATGCGTAGGGAACTTGAGGATAGAGATCAACCCAAGCCCAATGGCACCAAGGAGGATCAAGCCGTACCACCACTCGGGGACCTCGGGGTAAGACGCCATCAACCTGTTGTGTACATCACGCTCAAACGCCTTCTTGTCATGCCTCTTGAGTAGCGACTTGAACCCTCTCATGATCTCGTGCCGGTGATAAAGGTAAGCATAGACGAGGGTGGCAGGGTAGATGGCAAAGAACACGCCGTACAAGAAAGCATTCGACGCAGAGAGGTAGAGCGGAGAGTAGGCCTCGTATGCCGCCTGGTCAAACAAGCCATCTTCATTGACGATACTCGTGACTTTGTAGCGCGAGCCAAAGCGGTCGTAAGGCTTGTTGATGTTGATAGGCATGTAGGCTGTATACCACGTATTGGTGAACCAGATGGCGACGATGATGGGGAACGAGATGAGCATGCCCATAAAGTTGTTGAGCGACGTGAAGAATGGCGAAATGAGAGGTTGAGTCGTCGCCGATACCACGTTCCAATCAAAGGTCGGAATGGGGTTGAGTCCCATACCCGACTGCGTACCAGCGATCGCCGCCAACTTGATATTGTTAGGACTAATCCATGTGATCCACGAGAAGTAGGACAAGAAGGTGGCGATGTAGTTGGGGAACCAAAAGTAGACAAACATGCCGACGAAGGCGTACAGGAAGAAGCGCAACTGCGAGACCTTCCAGCCATTGGCCACAGGGTTGTGTTCGGCGTGGAAAGAGTTATTGAGGGCGATGGTGGCGAGATTGCGAGGCCAGATGGCGGCAGAGGGGTAGACGAGGAAGCGTCTGGAAAGACCGGCGAGACCGTATCCGATCAACTGGAACGACAGAGAGAGCGTGACTGAGGCAGGTCAATAACTAGATAAAATATGAGAACAGGAGACCGCTCACTTTGGTAGCCAAAGTTCTTGGCCCATTGTTGGTTAAAGAAGGTCGGGATGATCTGGACGAGAATGATATTGCCCGCATAGCCCACTTGGAACGACACATTGGCCATGACCGTAATCAACATATGCTCCTTGCGCGTAAATTTGCCCGGGTTAATGAACGAGGGGAAATAATCCGCCCAAAGCTTGCCGAGTGGGTAGGCGAGCAACTGAGCGACGATCTGGTCAATGTAAATCGAAGGTTGGCGAAGATCAAAGAGTTGGTTGACGATGGCGCCAAAGCAGGCGAGTAAGATACCGAGTGTCCATGATCGGATCGTGCTGCATGCTTCGTTGACGTCGTCCGTGTTCGACACGACCGCGCGGACTTCGACATATGGCGAGTCGTTGATGATAAGCGCGGCCTAAAAATAGCAGAGATAAAGTTAGCATGTGTAGGTTTAGCATGAGGTACGGTGGAGTGAGATCCGACTGACCTCCATCTTGACCTCTTTGAGAAGGCGCTCATAGTTGACCGGGTCCTCCTTGATGTGGGGGTTCTGTGGTACCATGCGGTATGAGCATCTACATTACATCACGCGCCAATCAAAAAAGGTAAACTCACCCCGATAAACTCGCGAGCCAGGTTCAATACGTGAACGGGGAATAAAGGATCTTAAAGGGAAGGTAAGTAAGAGTAATTGTAATAGACGAGATAAGGAGAGATGGTGGCAACGCACTGTGTTCATGTTCTTCGAGAATTTCTCGCATGATCTCTTCAGCTTCAGCGTCGGTGATTTGACTGGCTTGTTGGAAGAGAAGCTCTGCCTTCTTGTCGTCGACAATGTCGAGTTCCGCGGCGAGCGCGTGACGAACATCCTCGTTAAAGATCTGGGTAAGGGTGAGTAATGTGGTATAGTACAGCGCATGGGAGATAAGGTAAGGAGGGTACTTACTTCGGGCTCTTGTTGAGCACCTTTGTCGAGGGAGGCTTTGCTAGACGATTTCTCGTTATAAGACATGGTTGTGACCTAGGGCACGCCAGAAACGGCTATAACAGCAGCGTTAAAAGAGGGGCGGCGAGGGGAGGATAAGAAATGCTCGAAGAAACCCCTCTCCAGCGATACGCCATGCCATTATATACCAGAGAGAAAGAGCGATACGGTAGATTAAAATGTCTTCTGGATGTCAGATGCGCCCAGCATGGGCCGGGTTGGGGGTGAAGGCGCGACCGGCCATATGGAGAGCGAGAACATGTCGAGGTGTCGCTACCAGAAGCGCCAGCATGCAAGAGTGGCCACATTCTCGAAGAGAGACGTTCCACGCTGCCTTTCAATTCGGTTGCATGCCCACAAAAGTACCCATCGTCCATTTTAGCCGTGACTTCTTTCTTCTACGCCA